CTACGCTTACCTTTACTGTATCATTTCAGCTTCCTGAGCAGCGGAACAATGTTGGGCATGTTCATGTTGGGCATGTTCATGTTGGGCATGTTCATGTTGGGCATGTTCATGTTACCGGGATAGAATTTCCCTGAGACTGAAGCAAAGACCTCCAGATAGAACTCCTAACTTGACCGTTGTTGTCCTACACTGAACATACTGAGTGGATTTGATCTGCTCCAAATTCTTTTATCTTGTTTCTGTGTCTTTCAAGTGTCTTTAATAAAATCCAGCTTCTACATAGTAACTGGAACATATTAGCCACTAAGTGAATACTTGCTGAAGAAATAAAAGAATCTTCAATTTTACTGAACCCTCAGTTATTTTTTTATCTCCACAGATAGTGAACATCTATTTCTATGAAACTGAACATGTTGTATCCCATGGCACCTTCTGTCCTCATATCGAACAAACGAAAAGGAGTTCCCAGCTTGTTTGAAAGCACCTATTGAACTTACATTTAATTATTTATCTTCAGCTATTCTGTGTTCAAGTTTTTTTGTTTTTGGTGCGTGTGTGTGTGTGTGTGTGTGTGTGTTTTGGTGCTCTTTTGCCAGACTAAAACAGAGCCATGTCCCTCTGTCATTCTAGTCTTAAGCTGTGGAATCCCTCTGTAATCAACTCAAATTTTACCTTGTTCTCCATAACACTTACCTAACTAGTCATGTATAAAATGATCTCTCCCTATTCTTCCTCTGACTTGTTAAAACAGTTATTGTTAATTTTGCATTATTTTATTTTGTCCAGGAATCATGTACAGTAGGTGTCTGGTCTGACATTACTAAGATGCTATTTTCATGCTCCTTCCTTACGCAGTGCAGTCTTTGAAGCCCCACTTTCACATTGCGCTTTGTTTCTTATGTCTCTCATGGACCCTGGAGTAAATAGTTTCTCATATAGCTGCTTCTTAGTCAATATTTGCTTATTAATTGATGGATTGGTTATTGGAAAGTTCCTTCTGTATGTCCTTACCTAGTCAATATTTGAAAATGTTGACTTATTGCCTAAGTACAGATCGATTGAGCAGTAGTATAAAAGAAACCTAAATATTTTGATATCAAAAGAGATGCTCTTAAGAACTGGAGAAAAAGACATGCAGTTAAGTGATTGAATATTTCCTTGCAGGGAAAGTCCATACACTTTTCCTTTTCCTAACTTTTCCTTATCTTACTCGCTGTTTACATTGGCCCTAGACTGTTTTCCATTTCTGTGTCATGGCTCAGAGTACAGATTCTTAACCTGAGCCTACGCAGCATTATGAAGTTCACAAATGCATTTCAGCAGCCTTGGAAACCAAGAAAAAAAATCTAGGCATAAGGAAGAGCATCTCATTAACACGGCAAAGCAAAAGATGAAACCCAGGCTTATCTAATTTAAAGTCTGAGGAATCAAGTCTTACAGTTAGAAAATAATGTACATTATTTGGAGGTTGTTAGGGAGACAAACCACTGGGCTGTAGAAGGGATACATTTTTGTACTAGAGTGCCCAAAGCAAAGTTTGTAAAACAACGTCCAGAAGAGCCACAGCAGCAGAAGAGACAGCAAATGATGGGTGCTGCTGAGGAGTGGACAGGCTCTGCTCTAAGTATTTTGTGTATTATATATTTTTAAAATTCCCCACTCACCCACATAGGATACAGCTCTATGTCCATCCACATTTTGTAGGTTAAATGCCAATGGAGCAGAAAACTTAAGCTACTTGTGCAGGGACAGTGAAGACAGTAGTGATGATTCAAGGATGAAAAGGTAGAAGACAGCCAAAGTGAAGATTTTCTATACACACATTTTCCCCTTCCGACCTATCTCAGACTTCCCTAGATCCTATTCACCCCCTTTCCCTGGTTGATGGGGAAATCTATTCAGGATGGTAGAATGGACAGCTAGATAATCACCCGAAGTCCTGACTTAATGTTGAAAAGCCAACCTACAAATAAACCAGTCTCATCAGGCTTGTGAAAATAATCATTTTTCTCTAGACCTCTTAGAAAATAAAAGGGTGTCAGGAGGAAGTACTTCTAGGCTCTGGCACTCTTCAGATTTGTAATGTGCAGGTGCAGCTTAAATCACTTGTATGTGATGTCGGTAAGAAAGAGTGACTAGCCTTGAGATGGACTCTGACAACATGCAGATTGCAGTTATGCTGCTGGCTACTGGCTTGTCAGTGGAAATCATAGTGTGAGTAGATTTAGTAGCAGGTGTGGCATTCAGTCTGAACTGGAACATTTCACATGCTCATGTGGCAGCCAAGGTTTCAAGGAACCCAACCCTCAAACACTGCAGGCCAGGGGGAGCATAAGCAACCTCTGCCAAACACTGTTTCCAGCCTCAGCGTCACTCTGCTTCACGTCAGAATGCAAAAGACCTGGATTCCAGTGGTGGGGTCCTGACCTCTTTTTAACTTAACTGCACATAACTTTCTGTGATGTAGGTTGTTGAACCGAAATATGGATATGGCAATATATTTACTTAGTGTCTAAATAAAGGAACAGTTTTGAATAAGATAAAGTTTGATAAAATGCATAGAAATTTAAAGAGAGAGCTGTCACTAAATTTAAAAAAAGCATAACAGTAAGTGTAAATATTTGCTTCTAAAATATAAACAAAGTTTATGCAGTGCTATAAACTTTCAATTTTTAAAAATTGGATTATTTTTATCATTATTATTTGTGTGTGTGAATGATGGGGGAGCACATGCCACAGTGCACATGTGGAGGTCAGAGAACAACTCTCAGGAGTCACTGCTCTCCTTTCAACTTTACCAGGATTCCAAAGATCAAACTCAGGTGGTCAGGCTTTGTGTCTGAAACACTTGGACCTAGTCAGCCATCACTTTGGCCTCAGTATTATTAACTTGATCACAGTACTGAAATTAGTTTTCAAAGGCATGTTATATAAACAATCAGATATTAACCATTTTATATTAATAGTTTGCTCTTACTTATGATGTAGCACATCTATGCAACTGAATTAGGGACAAGAATATCTGGGTGTTATATTTTGTTTTGCTTCTTTCTAGCTGTGTGAACTTGAGCAGGTCATTGGGCTTTAATTTTCTTATTTGTAAAATGAAAAGAATGAATGTTATTTCCTTTGCCTGACTCAATGGAAAACTACATAATACATCAGAAAATAATGAAAGCTGATGTTTATGGAGAGCTCACTTTATGTGTCATGCTCCAAGTAAGTGCTTTATGTATATTATACCATCTTCTATTTGACACTACAAACTGAGTACTGACTGACTTCTAAGCACTCCACAGGTACAGAAACTGATGCTTAGAGAGCTTATGGAAGTTGCTGTTATTCATACACCTTGTTGACACAGGGAGGAACCAAGAGATGACCCTGAAACCAAATGCCTCTGCTTGAGTAAAAGTGAAATGATCTACATATCTCTTTTCCTCTTTATTGTACTTTCTATCCTATTCCTTTGCCTGTCGTTTACCTTTCTTTCATTGATAATAGGTAACGAGTATTGCCATAATGTGCCATTATTCATTTTAGTAAAATTCAGTGTCATTAAGGAACAAATCAGTGGTTGAGTGAAACAATATTCATGGTATAGTCCACAGTCAATATTTGACTGTCTTTGGTAATTCACAGAATGTTTCTTAGGTAACTAAGTACTGTAACTTAGAGGGACTCTAGAAAAACGAGCCAAATCTGCATCCTCTCTAGGATCAGGAATGTGCATGGCACCACAAAGATATAAATGTCATACAAAGATCATTCAGAGGAAGAAATTAATTAATGCCAGGTGACAGGTCACGACCTTCATAACAATGTCAATAACGATTTGTACTTGGTTTTTTTCTAAACCACCAGAATAACCCGGTAAGTAGTTATTTACCACTAAGGAGTGGGTGGGCAAAATGAGGAGTTAAAAGAGCAGAGGTTGGGCTTGGGAAAGAAGTGAAGGAAATGCAACAACACACTCCCTTTCCTTCAGACTCAAGAATTTAATTCCTTCAAACTTCATGAAGCTAAAGAATATTTATTGCCAAAGCATGTAGGTCCATGGCTTGAGGAGGGATGGAGGAGTAGAGAGGGGGATCTTCTCATGTTTCACAGATGTTAATTTCAAGTTCCCACCTGGCAACAGCCTAAGGGCCCCAGCACAAAGATTCAAGTCACAGCATAGAGAGATACACAACTCCCAGCCACCAGTCAGCCAGTTCTAAAAACCCTAAAACTCTCCAGTGACTAAATAAACGTATTTCCCTCTATTTGTACTTTTTTTAACCATTTACTGAGGTTTGAAAACAGCCACAGAAATCTCTGATTACATTAAAGTATCAGGTATAAAAAACCAAAATTCTAATCTATAAACCAAATTATATTGTAATCAAATGCTAGTGTCCATATGTTTTATTTAAACAACAGGGGGTACACAATAAGGAAGATGTTTAAGTTGTGAGTAATAAACATAATAAATGACATATTTCTCCAGATAAATCCCTGGCTTTATTCCAGAATGCCATAGAAATACGTTTAAAATGCACAAAGAGCTCCACAGCCCAGTATTTGAACTTCCACAAACATTCTACAGAGAGTAGAATTGGAACAAGGGTTCCACATATGACTACTCAGTCAATTTCGCAGACCACATTTAAAACAACTGTAAGATTAATTTCATTCCATCTTCCAGACTCTTTACACAACTTGGAAGCAAGAAAATTTGTCATTTTGTAAGGATAATAACTCACAAACAAGGCTGGGAAGGGTGGAGAGTTGGAGGGAGGTTGGGGGTTGGGAGATAAAGTCTTTATAATCTTTTAGGGAAAATAAGATACATTTCAAATCAAGTTGCTCCACTAGACTGCAAAGCAGTTTGGAATCTTCGGCAGATGAAAAAGGATTAAAGCAAACGTGGAGGGGGAAAAACGTCCGATAAAGTTTCTGGCTGCAATACAAGAGACGTATCATTACCATATGATCTAATGTGGGTGTCAGCTGGATTGTGCTCATTGAGGGAAACCTTGTTTTTTAACTGTGCTATGGAGTAGAAGCAGGAGGTTTTCAACCTAGTGACAGTCACAGAGCAGCACCTACCCCCTCCTCCTTTCCACACCTGCAAACTCTTTTGCTTGGGCTGAATATTTAGTGTAATTACATCTCAGCTTTGAGGGTTCCTGTGGCAAATACCCGGATTAAAAGGTATGGCTTTCAATAATTGTCCTGAACTCTGCTACAGGCTAATAAAACTCCGGTCAAGTGGAGAGCAGAAGGAAATACTTGGTGAGAGAAAGAAACGAGAAAGAAATTTTGCTAAACTTTTAATAATCTTTATGCAACTTTTGAAACAAATGTTGCTTGCAAACAGAAGTTAAATGTTTGGTAAAAACGATTGGGTGCATTGCTTTTAGTGCTTTCTCTTCTGTTCTTGCAAAGATGCTTATTAAACAACTGTAACCTAACACCAAGACTATGTATATTGATGTTTTAGCATTTGTACTAATGAAATGCTTAGCTCTTTAGGAACTGCTAACAGCAAACTACTCGAATCTCGCAGACTATTTCTATCTAGATTAAGTATTTAAGAATTTGTTTTCATCCCGAATTCGTGTATACTTGTGAATCTTTAGGACCTCAGGAAATGAACTCTGTGACTGTAGATGTATAAGGCATATTTCTGCAACACCAGCAATGAATAGGAATTATTACCAGAAAGGTGAAAATAAACACTGAAATTATTTATGTTAAAGACTTGAGCTCTTACAGTTTCATAATTCCTTAACTATAAGTGTCACTGTCAGTATTTTCAATGCAAATGGAAGTTTATTATAAGGTACACTTACTATAAGATGAGAGTGGGGGTTAATTATCTTTCTAACTTTAAGCAGAGTAACTGGATCAGCACTGGTTAAATGGGCTCCCAGTGATATAAATGCCTGTGGCTTTTTCTTCATCTGGCTTTTTTTTTTTTTTTTTTAAGCCAAATGTTTTTTATAGTAGCAGTTGTTTATAGAAAAATGCTACTTGTTTTCTTTTAATTATTTCCATTATTACAGAAGTTTTGAATTATTCTAGGACTGGAAGATTTTAATTGTGCTCTGTATGTGAAGATTCACTTGCAACTTAAGGGTTAAATTTTGACTTTGAAAGTCATAGCAAGATTATTAATGTGATAATACAAATATACAACTGAATGATATGGCTAATTAAATAGAATGAGGTTGTTTTAGAAGGTAGAAAATTTTTTTGATAAAAAAACTACAGCAACTTTCATTAGTGGAATACTGACTTTATATAAAAGTTGAAGGTAGTTTCCACAACATGTTTAATTGTGTCACCTCAGTTTCTAGTCTTCTTGCTTTGAATACAGACAGCTACTTTTTGCTGCCTTTTTCTGATTTATCAGGGTAGCAAAAAATATTGAAGTAATAAAGCATATCCACAGCAAACATTAATTTTTCTCAGATGCTGGGTCTTCATGCATCATTATACTAATTTCAAAAAATAATTTCCTGGGAGAATTTAGACAAAAATTTTGGGCATGGTTTTCTTCACAAGACAAATACACACACACACACACACACACACACACACACACTCACACACATGCAAATACATACATACAGACTCAAAAGCACACACAGATACACACACGAACACAAATGCATGCAAATGAAAATATATAAAACCCAGTAACCAAAGCTGCATGCTGTCTGACTGTACTCAGCCTTAAATTAAAGGAGGCCTGTGCAGAGAACTTGTGCCATTTTAACCAGGGTAAACAAATATAAATAATGACACTATTCCTCTGAGCTGGTACTCAGCATTTCCTTTTTTGGGTTGTTAATGAAACCACCAGGCAATTTCTGTTCTGGAGAAAGGATTATAAAGAGACATCTGCAATAACTCTCGTCACTCTTTATTAAATCTGCAACCACTTTACTTCATTTTTCTTCTAAGATTCTAAGACATTAAAAATGCAAGCCTAGCAAACTTGTGGTAAATGTAAACATTGTATTTTAATGTGAAACAGATAGAAAACTTCTTTACATCAATCCAAGCAAACTCACTGCGAAACAATAGCTTCCCCTTAAAGATAAACTTAGTAGCTGAGTAGAACTGGCCTCTCAGAGAAAACTTGATACTGAAGTTGAGCTAGTCTCGTGAATAAAAATATTTATGATCTAATTGAAAAATCACAATCCTATACCACGTGTGCTGCTTTAGACATTCTTCAATATTAAATGTAAACTAAAAAGGAAAAGGGAATATTCCTATTTGGAAAAGATTTGCTTTCTTCCTAGTGGATCTGGCCAAAACTTCTAGTTTATACATTCAGGTTATCTGTTCAGAATTTGTTTTTCTTTTCGTACTTGCATGAACCATTTTTGGATAATGTGGTTCAAAATAGTTTCTTAATTGTAGTGCAGATGTGCAGCCTTCATACAGATTTTTCTAAGTGTGTCATTCTAAGTAGAGATCACGAGTCTTAAGGTAATATCTACAATATGCTTGAGCAACACTTAGTTACAATGGGATTTTAAAATACATCATCTTACAAATAGATTGCTTTTTCTCTAGGCATTCAACTACATTTTGTGATTCAGAGTGGTCATTCAGAGTTATTTAATTCCTATCTATATAGCAAGAAATTTGTTATAAAAATACTGTTGTGTGTTTTAAAACTTAAGACCGATTGGTTTCTTGGAACAAATGGAGTACATTGTATTACTAATAAACTGATGGTCAGTTGAATCATGTGTGCTCAAAATATTGTGCAAGGCGTGGGTACAAAACAAGGAATAATAAGGCACGCCCTGAAGGAGAAAATCGGCTAGTGGGGGAACTAAGTTTGCACGCAAACCACATTATAATATAATGTGATAAGTTCATTAAAAGACGTCAGAGCAAAGTGCTTGTGATCACTGAAGAGACAGAGTGCGTTCTGCCTGGAAGAGCTGGGAGTACAGAAGGGAAACCCGGTAGCTCATATGCTTGCTCCAACTTTCTCATAAGGTAGGTAATATAAACAGCAAGTGGGTCTGAGTGTCTAGATTGAGTCTGGAAGGAGAAAAAATGCACAGAAATGTAGCTTCATATATAAATTCACAGCAAATCATGAATGACGTACACAGCTCAGGGAATGTGGGTATTGTTGGCAAGTCATGAGATGTCAACTAATGGTGGCATAGAGATTAGCAAGGTGAAGCTCAAGTTTAGACAATGATTTGGAAAGCAGAGTGGAAGATGACCTAGATTAAAAGAGTGTTTAGGGCAGAAATGAGCTGGAGGCTGTAAGGACAGTTCAAGGAGAGGTGAGGGACCATAAAGTAAGGAACGGAAAGGACGATGCAGGAATGAACATGACCTGTAGAAATGATCCTCAGGCAGCAGTTGAAGACCTCTCAGTGTATAGTCAAAGTTGTATTTGACTATGGCTTGGCCTGTGCTGAGCATGGAAAATTCCAGCACAATTTATAATTCAAAACTACCTAGGCAATGATGTAGGCACAACAGTTTATCAACTAAAATCAAGCCTCAAAATTAAACAAGCAGGCTTAAGTGGTGTTTGGATTTCTTTGGTAGCCAAAGGTTGCACAAAGGTCTATCATTACCTTTATCACCTTCCAAATACATTTTTTGAATGCTTAGCAGCCTCATAACAAATACTCCTTTTTATATTTGTTTCTGGACTCACTGTGCTATGGGACATTATGTAAGAAATAACACATGGACTAGGTGACAACCTTACTCCTATACCCTTCATTTGTTTTCCAGTTTTCCAGATTGTGGAAATACATGCAATAAATCATGAAGGCAACTATCATCTTCCTCCTGCTTGCACAAGTCTCCTGGGCCGGACCATTTCAACAGAGAGGCTTATTTGACTTCATGCTAGAAGATGAGGCTTCTGGGATAGGTCCTGATGACCGTGTCCCGGCTCCAGATCCAAATCTACCAGACGAAAGGGAGGTCTGGGCACTTATGTGTCCCTTTCGCTGCCAATGCCATCTCCGAGTGGTACAGTGTTCTGATTTGGGTGAGTAGGGTCACCAGGCTCTTTGCCCACCTTGAACCTTGTGCAGCCTCTTGAGACTGGCTTCCCTAAGTGTTTAACATTTCCAGGTTTTATCTCTCCCACTCCAAAGGTAAGAGACAGTGCCACCTAATGAGTAAAGGAAGTAGAGCCAGGGAGGGAAGGAGCTTTGAGGCTAGGGCATTTTTGCTTTCTTCCTGTTTTTTTCCTTTATTCTTTATTGAGGTCAGCTCTACCAAACCTTGCAGTTTGGACCAAATCATTAAAAAAAAAATCTTTCTGACTTTAAACTGGTCTCCTTTAGCAAAGTATAAAATTTACCAAAGCATTGTCTTATATTCTGTTCCAAAAGGAGTGGTTCTTTTAATTCTTGATTTGTTTCCTTGAAATGTTTGATATTAAGATTTGGACAGTCTCTCTAATCTCAACCGAGTCCAGGCCACAGAGACTGAACATTACTAACTTGTAAAATATGCAGTTATCAGGAGCAAAATAAGGTAGATTGTATAACAGAAATTTATCTTGCTCATACCTAAACACTCCCTTCTTCCTCAGGCCTCAGTGCTCCTTATACCCTTGACATTTTTCAGCCCAGCTGATTCTGTTTTCTATAATGTTTGGAAGTAACTATTTACAACTAAAGCATAATGTAAATATCTGATACAATCTTGGACCATGAAACCCTAGTCTAAGTCCCTAAAGACAGCTGATTTATCTCGTTTAAGGAAAAATTTGGCCTGGAAATTCCAAGCCCACATGCTTAGGAGATTAAATCTCCTGGAAGCTTGAAGGCTCAGTGGTTGGGCCAAAGGCAACGTACGTAGTTCACATGGGTGCTGATCCCATTTCCCTTTCCTTGAAAAGTGATCATAGGATACACATTCTACCATGTTTATTTCCTCCTGGAAGAAACCCCCTAACAGAAGAAGGTGCTTCTTTCAGAAACCCTCTATTTACTCTGGAGATAATGCTAGCAACATTTTGAAGAGAAATGGCCATGAAGTTTTACAATGAGAAAGGACCTCACACAAAGGACCTCAGATGAATATAAAACTGTTCAGTCCCAACAACTGAAAAGCACTTGGGTTAGCTTCTTCAGTGCTGGCATAAACTATATCAACATTTTAAATCTCCAATAGTGTAGGTGGGTGTAGATGTGTCGATGAGGCCTTCAAAAGGCTACAGATAATTGCATTGGTTCATTCATTAATTCAGTAAATATACTTAAATCCTGTGTAGATCAATGGCATTCTAAGTTTTAGAGAGGACAGCATGAAAAAGGCACAGATTTTTCCTATGCGTTCTTCTGTTGTACTGTTGGTGAAAGTCTCTTTTTGCATTTTCTGTTCAAAGAAACAGAGACTAGATTACCTCCAAATATCCAGAAACTTCTATAAGCATCTAGAGATGGCCTGCATTTTTATCTTGGGTACGAAAATTTTGGATGGAGGAAAATTGAACAAAGAAACATTGATGAATATCCTAGTAGTAAACTTTTTCTGCAATTGCTTAGATTGCCAGGTTCTCAAGAAATAGAACAAAAGTTTCATTTCTTTCTCTCTCACCCTCACCCTCTCTCTTTGGTACTGGGGACAGAAACCTAAGGTCTCAGAAATGCCAGGCAATTGCTTTACCACTGAGGTCTATTTCCAAGCAATTTCAGCTTATCTCCTGAACATGGTTAAAAGAATCATTATTACTCTCAATACATATGTTACCTGACATAAAGTACTGATGCTGTTGAGGAAGGAAAAGTGTGTTGGGCATTTCACTGGAGCTTACTCTTCAGATATTTTTACTTTGCTTCCATGATGAATACTTTATAATGCTCTACCGTGATAAAAGCATTATCCCAATTTTGCAATTATCTGTCATATAAAAGTTATTGTTGCCGGGTGAGGTGGCACATGCCTCTAATCCCAGCACTGGGGAGGCAGAGGCAGGCAGAACTCTGTGAGTTCAAGGCCAGTTTGGTCTACATACTGAGTTCCAGGACAGCTGAGGTTACAGGGAGACCCTCTCAAAAAGACCAAAAAAAAAAAATATTGTCTACAAGTATATTGCTCAGACTGACTAGAAGATGGGATTTTAGGAATCATCAAGTTCTTTCTATTGTACCTTTATGATGTTGTTGCTGTTGTCATTATTTTGCTTAGTTTAAGCTTTTAGGATTTTTTATTAATTAAATTTACATCTTTGTCAATTGTGTACAATATATACAGTGTATTCTAATTGCTCTCTCCCCCAACCTCCTTTATCTCCCTCCCACCCTAACAGACCCTCTCTTCCCTAGAAATCTCTTGCTTTCTACAAATTATCTTTTTTTCCTAAGGGTATACAAGATTCCTTTGTTATATATATGTTTATTGATTTTTATAACAAGGAATTAGCTAATATTGCAACAATGACTTTTATTTAGAAATCATACGTCATTTAAAAAAGCTAAGTGACTATTCAATAGATTCATCCAAGATACTTTTATTAATTCACAGATCAATACTTAAATATATATTAAAATTTAATTATGTAGACCTAAAACAATTGGTCTTATTCATGTTTTTAATTATTAGCTAGTTGTTCATCACTGTCTGGCCATGGAAAGTTGATGAGGACCTTGATAACTTGATCTGTTTTATTCCATTCTGGTATGGAACCCAAGGTCTCATGCATGCTAGGCAAATGTACCACTGAGCTATACCCCCACACCTTTAGAACCTTGATGTTTGCATCTAGAAAACCACGGTGAGTCTGAGGTATTTCCTTGAATTCATGGGAATCTGGCTTAAAAAGCAGCTCAATGCTTTCCATGATTATACAATCAATATGTATAGCAAGAAATGAAAGAAAAGTAGAATGTAAGGAAGGAAAATGGGCTGCCTATTCATAGCAAAACTTATTTGGGCAAAGTGTTTAACTTATGTCCTCTAGTGCTGTAAACAGGGAGGATGAATTCAATAAGGAAACAATGTAGTATAGTTTGGGATGGAAAATGGGAATTACTATCTGTCTCAATGGCTAATGTTTTCTTTGGGATTATCTTTGTCAGATTTTTTAATGAGGCAGAAGAATTGCAATGCTCAAAGACAACAACTCTTTGTCAGTATTGTCTAAATACTGTTTAATACAAACAGACTTTTTTTAAAAATTACACTGACTGTTATTTTCTCTAAGGGTTATTTGTACTGAGCATAAACAATATTTTTTAACATCTCTTTCAAGATGAAAAATGAAAACTAAGAATGAAAAACTGAATCATTTGACTAAGGGAAAAGTTAAAACTTTCTGGAAGATGCATTGCCTGTTTGACCCTAGTTGTAGCTTTTAGAGTAGTGTTATAACAAACTTATGTAGAGCATGGAGGACTAAGAAAGTAAATATGAATTTGCTAGAGATAGCAGCCAAATTATTTTTCAGACTTTGTTGTAATTTAACCTGTGATATGAACCAGGATTCAATGTGGGATCCATGTCTTCTTACTTTGTCCCCTTAAGTAAGACAATTCATTCAACCATAGTGTTCATAAAAATAACTAAGCAGCAAGTACAGCATTACCAAATTAAGATGTCTATGTGTTATTTTAAAGTAATAAACCAAAATATATTCATTCCATTTATACTTTTTCTTGACAAATACATGGTTATGTAAAAGTTGCGTATACTATGGGCACTATTTGGTATTTTGATGCATGTATACATTGAGTGATATTTAAATCAGTCAAGCATACTTATCTATTCAAACATTTAATATTTCTTTATGACAAATCCTTCTAGCTTTCTGAAATATTCAGTACATTGTAGCTTTCTACCTATATCTTATCACTCTCTAACTGAACTTGGTAATGATGAATCATCAAAATTATCCTACTATCTCCATTTTATCCAGCCTCTGGTCATCACCATTCTGCTTTCAACTTCTATGAGGTCAACTTTTTGATACTCCACATATGAGCGAGATCATACAGCACTTTTCCTTTATTTCCCTTAACATGCAGTTTTCAGTTCCATTCATGTTGCTGCAAATGACAGAATTTCATCCCTTTTAATGAGTAGCATTCACTTGTATGTATGTACCGCAATTCCTTTAACCATTCATCAGTTAATTTATACTCGACAAATAGCATTACATCAAATTATAAAGCTTTGACCTAGTAAGTAGACCAATAAATAGAGTTAAGAGACAGCCTACACAATAAGAGAATGCATTTGCAATTTGTACAACTGTTAAGGGGTTGGTTTTCATAATATATAAGGAACTCCAAAATCCTACTAGCAAAACAACAACAAAACAAAACAAACAAAACAAAACCAAAAAAGAAGTGTATCTAGACAGAGGCCTCGCCTAGAAAAGCTACCACAGGTCACTCTAGGCAATTCCAGTTCAGAAGACATAACAATGCCAACTGCTAGACATAAAACTGCATTGTCTTGAGATTCTAGCCCAGACTGAACTTCTATGACCCTTGACCCTGTTAATATTTGATTACCAATGCATGAAGGCCATGACTGAGAGTAAACATTCTAATCCCTTTCCAGAGTTCTTATTTTAATTTATAAGTCAAATGAAAGTGTCTATAAACTCCCTTGTTTGATGGTCATTCAGTAATATTAACAGTAACAACTTAAAACTGAGCTGATCTTAAAGGGAGGGACTTTAGATAGGCTGACTAGACCTCAGTGGATGAACTTACACTGAAGAAAATCTGGTTATACTAACTTGACTCCATAGGCCTTAACACAAGCGACAGAATGCATGAAATTCAGTGGGGAGGGGGAGGGTTTATGAGAGGGTGCCAGCGGGGAAGGGAGTATAAAGTTAATTAAGATGCTCTGTATGAAGCACAAAAATTCAACAAAAATTTTACAAAAAAAGAACCCAAGGAATAGATCTAAATACACATGCCCTACAAAGTATACAAATGACTGACGAGAACGTGATTATCACTCATCATCAGGAAAATACAGATTGAAACCACAACAAGATATCACTTTACAGATGTAAGAAAG